GACCTCTGACTTCAGGAGCTGACTCTGACCTCCAGAGCTTACCTCTGACTTCAGGAGCTGACTGTGACTTCTGACCTTGGAAGCTTACTGTGACTATGACTTCAACTTCACTGTGACTGTGACTTCAAGAGCTAACGGTGACCTCAGGAGCTCATTCTGACCTTTGACCTCAAAAGCTGGCTTTGACTTCTAGAACTTACCTCTGACTTTAGCAGGTGACTGTAACCTCTGACCCCAGGAGCTAACTGTGATCTCAAACCTTGAAAGCTGACTGTGACCTGTGACCCCTGGAGTTTACTCTGTCTTTTGATCATAAGATTTAACTTTGACCTCTAACATTTGACCTCATGAGTGGACTCTAACCTTTGTCCTCCAAAGCCGACCTCAACAGCTCACTCTGACCTTTGATCCTAAGCAACTGTAGAATCACCACAACAGATCAGTTATTATAGCTGTTGTGTTACCATAGCAACTGCAGAATCACCACAACAGATTAATTTGAGTAAGGGCTTATTTTGATTTTCTCATATCAAGATAAGTGCTCCAAGATCTCTCTCACTGTCTCTCTCTGTCTCTTTCTTATTCCCTCACACACACAGTCAAATGTTCTAAGCAATAATGACGATAAATAAAAATGTAAACAGCACACTATAAGAGTTAAACTCATGTTGGCGTTCAGACGATTAACACACACATCAGTCGTCAGCCGTGTTGAAGGTGACACTGATTCTGGAATCTCCTCAAACCGATGTGTCTGTGATTCTCGGCGCGTCCCAGCCGCTGTTGTCTCTGTATTCTTCATGTTTTTCACGTCCTCCTCCGCGGTCTGTCCTGATAACGTCACGCTGGAGAAGATAAAAAGATGTCGGCACTCTTTTGTTTGCCATCTGAAAGCCACAAACAGTCTGCATGCCAAATGAGTCCCGATGGCTATCAGAAGCACTGCAGAAATTAGCACAGAACTGCAAGTAAGCTTCATCTTTCAGAGCTTTTCTGAAGAGATCTGATTCCTCTTTTGTAGCGGAATATAATGGTGGCTTGAGGAAGTCAACATACTGTTTTACTACATAAACTTAATATTAGTCCGTCTTCGATCTTCTACTTCTGAAACTAATTTCTATTTGCATCTGCTCTTAGACTGGTCTGACTCTGCTTTTCCACCTGATCCTCCTAACAGTTTTTTTGGAAAACTGACCTGGAAAATTCAGAAAAGTCTCATTGACTTAACATTGGACCAAACTTTGTGACCTCATAACTTTACACCAGACTGCCAAACAGACTTAATATTGGGCTCATTTAACTCAGACTGCCAATCTGCCAACCACTGATGACCTTTCATCTTACTATCCACACCCTAGCAACCACTTACAGCACCCTAGCAACTGTCCTTTAGACTTCCGTTGTAAAAACTGCCATTGACCTTACATTGGACATGCTAATGTAACCCTGCCGGTCCTACGCCACCCAACCCGCTCCGAGCTGGTATCGAACAGGCAACCTTCTGCATGGGAGTTGGGTGCTCTACCAAGGAGGCTAAAGACCATGGCCTCTAGCGTCTGTCGCTAGAGCACCTTTAGAGGTCAGAGGAGTGAGGTTTACCTGCACAGCACACACTAGCTGGCCTCCGTTACACTCACCCCCTAAACCTCACTCCCATCTGGGTCACGGCACCAATGTAACCCTGCCGGTCCTACGCCACCCAACCCGCTCCGAGCTGGTATCGAACCGGCAACCTTCTGCATGGGAGTTGGGTGCTCTACCAAGGAGGCTAAAGACCATGGCCTCTAGCATCTGTCGCTAGAGCACCTTTAGAGGTCAGAGGAGTGAGGTTTACCTGCACAGCACACACTAGCTGGCCTCCGTTACACTAACAACACACCAATACATACTAGATACATACTAACTAACAAACTAAAAACATAGTAGCAACATGCTAATTCATGCTAACAACATGCTAGTTTGTACTAGAATCATGCTAGCAACATGCTAATTCATACAAAAACCATGCTTACACTATGCTAGTTTATACTAGAAACATGCTAGCAACAAGCTAATTAATACAATAATCATGCTAACATCATGCCAGTTTATACAAGAAACATACTAGCAACATGCTAATTCATACCAAATTCATGTTAACAACATGATAGTGTACACTAGAAGCATACAAGAACTATGCTAATTTATGTTAGCAACTGCCTAGCAACTACTCAGAACATCTTAGCAATCGCCTAACAACACCTTAGCAATCACCTAGTAACCACTCAGAACACCTTAGCAACCGCCTAGCAATGCCTTAGCAACCACCATAACAAATACCTAGCAACACCTTAGCAAACACTAAAAACACCTTAACAACCCCCTAGCAACACCTTAGCAACCAACTAGAAAACCTTAGAAATCACCTAGCAACACCTTAGTAACCTCTCAGAACATCTTAGCAACTGCCTAGCAACCACTCAGAACATCTTAGCAACTGCCCAGCAACACCTTAGCAACCACTCAGGACACCCTAACAACTCCCCAGCAACACCTCAGCAACAACCTAGAAAGCGCTAGTAACCACCAAACAACAACAAGCAACAGCAAACCTAGCATTGCTTAAGAAAGCACTAAGAACACCCAAGCAACCACCAAGCAACATCTTAGCAACCACATAAAACACTGTAGCAAGGGCTTAACAACTACTCAGAACACCCTAGCAACTGCATAGCAACAGCTAAGCCACCGCCTAGCAACCACTCAGAATACCATAGCAACACCATAACAACTACCCTACCTGAAACAACCTAACAATCGCCTAGCAACCACTCATAACACCGTAGCAACCGCCTAGCAATGCCTTAACACCTTGTCAAAACACCCTAGCAACTGCCTAGCAACCACTCAAAACATCTTAGCAACTGCCTAGCAATGCCTCAACAACCTGTCAAGACACCCTAGCAACCACTCAGGACACCCTAGCAATCTCATGGCAACAACTTGTCAATCATTCAGAACACCATAGCAGTGCCTTAGCAACCATACAGAACACCCTAGCAACCATCTAGCATCACCTTAGCAACCAGTCAG